CAATGGAAACCACCGGTCAATTGATCAACTTTTCATTTGGACAGCGAAAGCCATGGCCCTGAAGCCGGCACGTCGGCTCGTGCCGTAGGCTCGCGCCAGGTGTCCATGACTTGGAATCAGGGACCGCTTTCCACTAGGTCCTGAAGAACTGGGCTCCTGTTGGCCGCCCGTATGTCTCGAAGAAGGGGACTACACCCCACTTATCTCATGTTGCGTTTGCCAGGCGTTTATGTCTTTGACAGCTATGAAATATACTAAAAACAAGAAACTCCCAGGAAAAAACACACACACAAACCTTCTATGAACATGTGGTTTACTGAATTTTGAAGGAAAAGCAAGATGGCTAAAGCATTAAGACGATCCAGCGAGGAGCCGAACCTCCATGATATGTGTTTTTTTTGCGAAGGGGCCGGGCCCATGGGGCAATCGGACCTGCAGCTGTTCTTGCTCCGACGATTGCCGGAAAGTTCCGTCCAGAGGTCTATGGCCCTGCCTAGCAACCCTCACAGTAAATCACCCTGGCATGGATCTGAAAAAATAGGGGCAAAAACCTCTGAAACTGGTTTCAGACTTGTCTTTGGCAAAATCAGCTGCAGCTGTCGGCCGTCCCACTGCAACTCGAAAGTCGAGTGTATCCCCGTGACTCAAGCTTTTGTTATGGCAACCAAAAATCGACACTTCCCCACCACCATGCTTGTAGCAAGGGCAGTGCGACCCCTCACGAAGCGCCCATGTGAAAGCACCCTCTTCCAAGCTGCTTGGCAGACCTCTAGTGGATTCCTATGCGACAAGAAGCACATCTTCCAACCCCCCGGTTCCCAACAAAAGTGAACAAAAATACAACACTCACTGTAGATAAAGGTGTGTGTGTGTCTGGGCAAACCAATTATAAGTTCTCAAGGGGCCTTCAGTTTTTGCTCCTTTGACGCGCATCGGTCAGCTCGATATAATATAATTCACCCTGCCTTTCTTATCCTTTCTACATCTGGGCTACACAAAAATATTTCTGACTCGATTTTCATATGGCTATGATTTCTTGAGGGTCTGCAACGCGCGACGCGCCACGAATCTTGTTGTGGAGGTCTGTCGCAGGTCAGTAACGGGAAGCATTTCTTGACAAGCAGTATCAGAAGCACAATGTAGCGCAGAACAACGAAGCTCCGCCTCAAAAGTCGCTCAGTAAATACAAGCGCAGGATGGCAAAAAGGGGAGTCACTGGCCCTGGCTGGGGTTGGGTCCGTAACGAGGTATGTGACGGCCATGCAACAAGGTCTGTAACGAGGCAAAGCAAGCGCAGTACGCAAAGCGCCTTCGCAGCTCCAGCTTGAATGCAGCTATTCAACGCGAGCCAAGCGGCGGCAAAAAGGGGGGTCGCGGACCCGGGCTGGGGTTGGGTCTGCAACGAGGTATGTGACGGCCATGTAACAAGGTCTGCAACGAGGCAAAAAGCAAAGCGCAGTAAGCAAAGCGACTCCACAGCTACAGCTTGATTGCAGCTATGCAACGCAAGCCAAGCTGTGGCAAAGAGGGCAGTCACTGGCCCGGTTTGCCTTTTTGAGGCGTGTAACGACGGTGTGTAATGAGGGGTGTGTAACAAGCCAGCGGGTCTTGTTGCAGAGGTCTGTAGCGAGGTCTGTAACGAATCTCCGCCGCGGCTCTGTTACAGACCTCTCAAACAAATTTCTGCCATATTTAGACCCACCCCAGGTTTCACTTCGAGCCTTCCACGAGGAGGCAAAGCTTGATGCCCTCGTTCTGCAAGATCTCGCCGAGATCGTCCTGAAACTCCTAAGGCGGCGCAGCCCGTTTTAGCCCCGGGGGGCTAAACCGATTCATATTTTCCCAAACCGAAAGGGCGAGTTTCCGGTTCTTTAATAGGGGGATGGTTGCGGCCCCTCCGAAAGCGGTCTGATTTCCCCCATGCCAGTCACCCAGGAATAACGTTCCCCTACTAAACTCGGGTTGAAAAGAATCTGGGGTCAATATTACTTGGTTGCTTTCTGCTCCCCTGCTAAAAGTGAATAACTTTTAGTGGGTTTAATACAGAAAACCCATTAGTCGGCAAAAAGTTGTTCAGTCCGAACATCCCTTGGCAACATGCACCAAAGGATTCATATGTTTCCCCAAACTAAAAGGGCGAGTCCCCGACTTGAGAGGTTGGCAGAAGTTGGTACCAACTTGTTTTCGGTCTTGCCAGGCCGCTTCATCAGTGGGGGGTATCCGTATGCAATTGGCATTCGAGTGTTGCGTGGTTTGTTTAAGGGACAGTCACTAGGTCCTCCAGTAGAGAGGATAGAACAAGGGTACCCTTTTTTTCATGTAGTCTATTTTAGCAGGGGAACCCTCCCCCCTCAAAAAGTTGGCAAAAGGGCACTACTGGGGGACCTATCCGAAACAAAACAAGCCGGTCCTGAAAGGCCATGCTCGTTTTGGGGCAAGCATCTCGGTTGCTTTCTGCTGCTCTGCTAAAAGTTTTAGTGTGCTTTATACGGAAAACCCATTAGTTGGCAAAAAGTTAAAGTCCTAACATCCAGGCAAAATGCACCTCTGGTATGGTTGTTTTTGCATTCAGGTTCATCTGGAGAGCTTGGAAGGTTGATTGGTCAACTAACCAGTGCTTTATGGGAATCCAGTCGCCTTTGGGCTCTATGTGTGGGCTTATATGGTCACTCCCTGAAAGGGCGGGGGAACATTGGGGCTTCGCGGAACATCTGCCGATATGCCAACATGGGACATGTCAGAAGGAAAGTTGCTCTGCCAGCGCAAAACAAGAAACACAATCCTGGGCTGTCCTCAGATCCCCTGCTAAAAGTTGATTTTTTAGTGAGTTAAACGGAAACCCCCAACTCCTAAAAACCTGAAAGGATGGCTGGGAACAACCAAGAATCTGCTGCTCTGATGGACTCTTTCCTTTGCCAATAGAAAATCCTGGCAAGAAAGCCAGGTCGGTGTGGCTCATCCTGTGGATTGTGGAGGCCAAAAGGTCGAAACAAAAAAGAGTCAAGGCCATGAGTTGCCAATTAGTTGCTAGGTCCTCCAGATTTGAGAGGTTAGAATAAGTTGGCACCAACTTTTTTGTGAAGTCTATTTTAGTAGGGGAACCCTCCCAACCCAAAAAGGCGTGAGAGGCAGGGCACTACTGGGGGACCTAGTTGGGGAAGTTGAAATTCATGCACCTTTGGTCTTGGACTTGGGTGGATGGTCCAGTCGGAAGCTTCGAGACCTTTCCACACACGCGGGTGCAAGCGGCTCACGGGGATTGACAGCACGTGACATGTTGATTGCAAAAACGGGTGCCTGGCCTACCGCCGTTCCCAACATGCGTTCCTCGAACAATGGGACCCTTCCGGTGTTGCTTTTTAGGTGGCAGGACGCCCTTGGGTAACCCATTTGCTGGGAGGGCATGGCCTTGAACCACCCACTGCAATGTGATCGCCTATGGACGTGGACGGGCCTTTGTCAAAAAGGAAAGGCGGCGCAAGAAAGCCTGTGTCAAGTGCCGGAGATCTTACACATCTGATTTTGTATCTTGGAACCTCAAAAGGGCCAGATGTGCCCCAAGAAGTAGAGAAAGGCTCCATTAAAGGTCTGGGAAGCTCGGCATCTCAATGGCATGCTGGCCTACTGGAACCCTCCAAAAAATCTCTTGAATGACTTCGATTTGTCCATCTCATTGGCTGGCAAAGCAAGTCAGCAAAACCAGCAACAGCACAATCTTGGATGCGCATGCACACGACATGGGCTGAGCAAATGCCGATCACACTGGAACATCCATCCTAAGCTGTCCATGGCTGCAATCAACTACGCACAGCTGGACCAAACGGGGCATCGTTGAAAGCATGGCACACCGTGTCGCGTATCAAAGTGGGCTCCATTGGGACATCACTTGAAACCTTTTGCATGGAGATGTTGAAAGGACGTGCAACTTTCCTTGATATCTTCACGTGTTGCAGTTCGTGAAAGACAACTGTGCCACTGGAAGGAATCTTCCGAATTGCAAATTCATGAAGTTCTCAGACGCATGAGTATGAGTCAAAATGAGCCCATACTGGACATCCCAAAAAGTTGAAGTCTAAAGATCCACCCCAATAGCAATCAACAAACTGTCGCATCGTTGCTGACGCTGTCCCAACGACGCTCGGGAAAACACGCCCAGTTGTCTCTCGGAAAGCCGATTTCAATAGCGAACCTCGACAATTAAAATTATCCATCGCAAAATCTGAGACGACTGCGAGTGCTTGGATAGCCCGCGGCACGAACCACATCCAACCACCGTTTTCCATATTCCCGAGTCCTCTGGAACGCCCGGTTTGGGCAGTTGAGTTTCACGGTTTTCACATCCTAGCAAGTTGGACAGTCCAAGGTTTCCCCATTCACTCTGGGATTGCGCCCTGGGGAATCACCCTATTCTAGCCTATTTCCGGATGAAACCTGGCAATTTTTTTGGGGTCATTTCCCTAGGGCGTAATCCCGGGGTGAGGAACCCTACAGGTCGACAAGCCCAGGCGAAGCGCGCTCCGCCGCACACAGCGCCGATGCCGCTGCGAAGTGGTGAGCCTTTGAGAGAGGCTGGGGTGATTTTCTTACCCCTTGGGGTCCCTTGGTACCGGAGGTAAGGAGGTAGACCATCTCTACTCTTGGTATGGTAGCAAAAAACTTAGTTTTTTGCAGACCCCAAGTAAAAATGAACAGAACCAAAACACTAAAAAACCAAAAAACATGCCAAGAACAGCGAAGAGACCCTTCTTACCCCCCAACAGCCAGCCTCAGATACTTGGACCCTCAGGGTGATACTTCAGCCGCGGCTGGCGAGTCTGCGCGCAAGGACGGGGGAGCCCCCCTTCAAAAAATAAGAAGCGGGACCACTGAGTGCCTTTGGAAGACCGATTTTGGATTCCATACTAATCTTCAGTGCAGAAGTAAAGGGACAAAGTAAACCCCTTTGGTCGGGTTTCAATGCACACCAGAAGGAGACAAGCCATTATTGAGACACTCACAGGGGATCTGACAGAGCGATGCAGGCATCATGTCGCTGGCAAACCCAATATGGTGGTTTGAAAAGGCAAAGCAGAAGCAAAGGACACAATCATTTTCAGGGAACTCCTATTTTCCAGAAACACCCATATACGTCAACACAGGCAGCTCATTGGTTAACGTCGCGCCAAGTGCTCCATCTTTACCGAACTGCTCCCTTCGCACGAGCGATGACGTGAGACAAGCTCTTTCCAATTTGAGAGGAACACATCAGTAGAATGGGTGTGCGAGGTACCTTAAACCAAACTTAATGAGTCATGTTTCATGATAGGCCAGAAGTATACCATTAAACAAGAGCATCAGGGTTATGCACGCAGGTTTCAGTCACAAAGGAGTCCGCGACGCCCGCGCAGCGGTTCGTTGGCTTCTTTTTCAGCATCACTAAGCCATGTCTCGCGTTGATCACTCCTAAAACCTTTGGTGTTCATAGTTGTACATTGTCCTTTAAACTTTGAAGCATGTGTATAACTGTATCAGCCGTCTCATCGATTACATCACCACAATGTCCGAGCATAGCTATTTGGCCCTTGTATTATTTGCTGCCTTGACCACGACGACCCAACGACATGCCCCTCACAAGGAATTCTATGGGATTTCAGGGTCACTTGGGGAGAACAGGGCGTGGGGGAAGGGCCGGGGTCCTACAATCATTGCGGTCCTAAGATCTGCTCTTGCATGCACGCGTTGCGTGTGCTCTTCCCGCGATTCTTCTCAATCTCGGAACAACTTTCCATGAGATACTGTATCACTTTAGCTCCACTTAGCCTATGAGGGAAGACAACGCCTACACCAAACTTGACACGTAGTGCCTTCTGGTTCGAGAACAAACACAAACATGAGGGGTTCCTCCCAATGTTGTGATGCTAAACCACCCAAATAAAGTTGAACATAACCGCCGGAGGTGTTGGTTGAACCCATGGCACGTGCTGTAAGTCTGCAACTCTTCCCTAGGAGCTTTCCAAACGGAAGCCGCGGCGCTCGCCAAGTATCCTGCAACTTGCGACTTTTGGATGGGCGTGGCTCAAAAGGGCCCAAACTCAACTTCTGGCACATGGCTAAGTAGACCAACACTTCTGCGATCCCCTGGCTCGTAGACTTTGAAGCTCCGGATGGCTTAGAAAAACCCAGCGGGAGACTGGCAGCCCGGGTCTCAGACTGGTGCCATGAAAGGTTTCACTGTCGGGTGGTCTGTGCCACTGGATCGAGGCGATGCCTGGAGGAGTCTCAAAGCGCCCGTCATAGGGAAGCCTCTGCCTAGTGACTAGTGACCGAGACCCCTCATCTTCCCTCCAAAAAGGTTGGTTTGGAGCCGAATCGGTGGTTTCGTGGTGTTCCGGAGGGCCGAACTGGGTTATCGGAGCCAAGGAGAAGCGGCCGTACAAAAAGAACTGGGCTATCCCTGGAGCCAAGCCAAAAATTGTCAACTTCATAAGAGAGTGGTTTCAACTTCATAAGGCCCAAACTAGAGGACGATTGGCCCGAAAGCATTATCCCACAGGTGCTCATCCAGCCGCGGAGACACCTTTTTACATCGCTGCGGCGAGCGTGTCTGCGCGCGGCGATGGTCACATGAGAGCTCCATCTCATCATCCTACTTTCCTCTCGAACTGCGCCGCGCGATTTCTCACGAAAGTGGTCTGCGCAAGCTGCATTGTTCCAGGCTGCTGCGCGCAAGTTGCTCTCTGCAAGCTGCTGCGCGCAAGTGCTCTGTGCAAGTTGCTCTGCGCAAGTGCTCTGAGCAAGTTGCTCTGCGCAAGTGCTCTGCGCCAGTTGCTCCGCGCAAGCGCTTTGCGCATGTGCTCTGCGCAAGTTGGTCTGTGCAAGTTGCTCTGCGCCTGCTCTGTGCAAGTTGCTCTGCGCAAGTGCTCTGAGCAAGTTGCTCTGCGCAAGGGCTCTGCGCCAGTTGCTGCTCCGTGGCAAGCGCTTTGCGCAGTGCCCTGTGCAAGTTTGGTCTGTGCAAGTTGCTCTGCGCAAGTGGCGTTATTACATATTCTCGTGCAATCTTGCTCTACGCAAAGTTGCTCTGCGCAAGTGACTCTTGCGCAAGTTGCTCCGGTGCATGTGCTGCCAGGAGCCTGCGGGGTGTGCTCCGCATACTACGTTTGTACTTAAAAGTTGCGATTTTCCAGCCGGAGCTGCACACTCCGCGTGCTACGTTTGTACTTAAAAGTTGCGATTTTCCAGCCCTGAGCTGCGGGAGCACGCTCCGCATACTACGTCTGTACTTTAAAATTGTGATTTTCCACCCGGAGCTGCAGGAGCACGCTCCGCGTACTACGTTTGTACTTAAAAGTTGCGATTTTCAAGCCGGAGCTGCGGGGGTGTGCTACGCGTACTACGTTTGTACTTAAAAGTTGCGATTTTCCTGCCTGAGCTGCGGGAGCACGCTCCGCACACTACGTCTGTACTTAAAAGTTACGATTTTCCAGCCGGAGCTGCAGGAGCACGCTCCGCGTACTACGTTTGTGTACCTGGAAACCCATATGTGACGTTTTTTTTCTGTCCATACGGCTTGGGCCACAAAAAAATGACCATACGGTTATTTGCGGCTTTTTGTCAACAATTTGTTGAAAAAATACGGGTTGCATACGGCCAAATACGGCCACCGGCCAGCAAAAAATGGCCATACGGGAAAAATGATCCAAATACGGG